CACAATGTGCAGACAGTACTCTCATTGTATCTTATAATTTTGACTCTCTTGCTATAGTTCTGATCATTAAATTCTTGAAAATTTCACCAACCCAAGTTGTGACTGTACCACAGTCTACTGCGAGTTTTGAGAGACGATGATAAAGATCTGAAATTGATTGGCCTATCTTGTGAGCTTACGACTTTTCTTGAACGTATCTTAGCTGGCTCATATCTGATATTTTTCGAATTTTTGACCTCCTTTGAAAGATGTTTCTACACTTCTACTTTTAAATATTCAAGTTGCACATCATCTAATAGTCGCGGCATTGGCTTTTTGTAAACATGTCTGTTCTTAAGATATTGAATACATATTCTTCTAGAAAGGTCGAGAGGCAGTAGAAATTTTTTAGCAAGACATAAAAATAAAGATGCATCATTTATGCTTGGCACTGATCCTGACGATCTTATAACAAGTCTATCCTATTATATACTGTACCGATCCTGTGGTGCAGTGGTTCGCCTCTCATTTCAGGACCGGGAGGTCCCGGGTTCGATCCCCGGGGCCGGGTAGAGTCGGGTTAGAGTGTAATGAAAAACCCTACAGCACGTGCTTGACATGGCTTACACGGCCCCTAAAAAGGGGGTATCGTACTCCATAATCTCCCTATTATATACTGTACATCTCACCATGATGAGTCACATATCTTATGTCCAACTATGACCGTCAACATCCGAATCACGATAGATGTTATACAAAGTCTATGCTTCCAGGTCAGAGATGCAGATAGTCGCATGAGGAAGACACATTGAAGATAAAGCAGTGTACGAACGATCTACGGGCCCAACACTATGTTATGACTCTTGTCTCTCTCTAACCACGATGTCTCATTGTTGGATGCCAAGCACCTTTTCTAATACTGGTGTGTATTTTAGCTCTTGAAATGTATTATATTTCTGACTGATCAAAAGATGACTTACCCTCGATGTAGCCCTCCAATATCGAGCCTCGTCGATTATGGAAATGATGAGGGCGAACTTTTATTAAAGAAATTTGACATACAAGTGATGGACGCCCGTTGACAGGCGCTTCTTTCGGACACACATTCAAAATCGATCGAATATTGTGGTGAAGTTCAATATTTAATGACAAAATCAAGCGAGAGCCCGCAGATAATGAGCAGGTGGCTGCTAGAATGTTTGAACGCCTCATAAAAGAGGCACACCGAAGTGAGCAGTTTCATAAGAAAAAAAATATAATTCTTAGTATCTAATTTAAAAAAAAGAAATTCACTGTCAAATTACGTTATATTCATTTTTGTTTGAGATTGTGTCTGGTGTTACTGATTGGAAAGTTGTGGTAAATTTTCAATTTTGATAGAGATTAACAATTACACTAATTCTTGGAGTCGAAGACTCTAGAAGTTAGTGCTTACTGTTTTGCCTATTCAAGACATGAGATATTATTACACTTCATCTTCAGTAACGAAATGCATAAATTTGCGGTATGCATCGCTGGCCTCGAGCGCAGTTGCGAAACTTGCGTCTCAGAAACGCAAGAACATGTGCATTTAGGTTTTGGGTTGTGAAGAAAGGCTGCCTTATTGCTCACTGGCCCAGCTGCGTTGCAACCTGGCTAATCTGGCTTGTCATTTATTCTGATCTTATGTTTGGTTTGTAGTTCATTGAATCTACATTGATCGATTCAGACACTTCATACGGCCAGAAGTTACTGACTTTTACATCTTTGCGCAGAGAGAACCAATCATCAATACTTGAAGCGAAGACTGATTTTTATTTTGACGCACGTATCCGAAATCAGTCAGTCGTTTACCGTCAACATTTGTTTCAAACCTTGAAGAAACCTTTGGG